AGGAAGGCCGTGCTGGCGGAGGTGACGGCTATGCTCGGCGTGCCTTGATAGTAAGTCGGTCCGTTCGCCTTCTGTGCGGCGGGCGGTGGGGGTGTGGGGGTCAGCGGGGCATCCACCAGGACCTCCATCTGTTGGCGGCTGGTTTTGCCGGACTTTAAGCCGCTCCCGGCCTCGCTTGGACTGGCTTTTGGTGTCTTGCGGGGCTCGGGGGACTTCCCCATGTCCCCACTAACCAGCGGGGCTTTCTGGACAGTTGGGCTGACTGATCTGCAGCCTGACGTTCCCGTGGGTGTGACTGCTAAAAAAGGAAGAAGTTACCGGTAATGTAGCCCTCGTATGGTGGTGTGCAACGCCCATGAGTGTTTGCTAAAAAACTAACGGTAACAGTATGTTATAGGGCTCACCGTGAAGATCAAACCCCCAGAATTATGTAATACGTGACCGTTGGTAATGCTAAATTATTGTCTTTTAAATTTATTTATTCATTGATAACAGTCTGAGGCTGTAGACTGTTAGTAAAATAACTACCTTCGTATGTTTTGTAGGTTGATGGGATTAATTGTGGTTTGCCGAGCATGTCATATCTCGTGAAATGTTAATCTAGATTCTGCAACGCGTTTTCATTTCGAACAAATTACTTGAGCAGGGTTGTCGGAGTTTTGTGACATCAAAGTGTCTCGCACTTGGCATTTTGGGCGAAGATGAGGGATGAACATTCGTGGGTGTGCGAACTAGAACATGGTTAGGCCTTGGCAATTTCAGCCCCACACATCGATCTGCTATCGTGGACCCAACTGCGGAACGTTGAACCAACTCGAATGTAATTGATCTGACTGGCGATTCGGCCGTAGTCTGAATGGCAGGTCAGCAGACCTGACAAACAGTCGGTTCTGATCAGCTATATGCAGCATCCTCTCACCATTTTCGGATCGAGGGCCCAGTACAAAACGACCAATAAGGTGATTGTTTGACGAGGCACCGGGTCCAGTACGGCCATTTCAGCCCCCGGCAACAACCGACAAATCACGGCGGGCAAGTCTTTTACCCATTTCCTGCAGCTGTGTTTAGAAGTTCTCCCTATCTTGCTATTGGGCAGCTGGTGTTAGTGCATACGCAGAGATGACGGAGATGTTCGTAAGTAATCCTTTAGTCGAACGTAAGTCATCTGGTCTTCGACTGGTTGCCATGCCAGTAGTGCACGGCTTGCTTGTTACTCGAGGGCAATAACCACATCAGGTCTACCAGAGGAGTTGCGCGTCCCACTGTGGTACAGGGTGAAGTGTGAGTTGACTCCAGGGATCTTTATTTCCCGAGCGCCTGAACCAGGAATTCGGATTTCAGACAGGCAGCAGACATCTAAGTTGTGCTGATACAGACGGTGTGCTGTCAGACCTTGGGCATTAGGGTCCGGCAATGTTCGCCAATTCCAACATCCAAAGTCTGGCGCACTGACTGCCTTAGAAAATGCCGCGAATCCCAAATGACGGCACTGGGACATCGTGCCTGTTAACCGCCATCAAATAGGTTTGTTTGCCACCGTTGCATTGCGGTTAGGTTCGTGAGCCAAAGTGCTAGCGGAGACAGCCTCAAACAAACAATCCGAGTGGCTGTTCTCAGAAGATTCCTGTCTGTACGAGAATCTATGACGAGGCCCAACAAAGCCAGATTCTGAGCTGAGCGTGGATGCGTAGGCCAGATATCCACACTGAGGTGCATTCTGGAATTCCGCCATGGCTACCAGCATGGCCATCTGCTCTGTCGACTTCGCCGTTGAGTTCAATTTCATCCATCATGAGTCCCTGTGGCGAATGCTGAAACTAGATGGAGTAACGATCAAAGTCATTGTCATGATCAAGGCCTACTATCACTCCACCACCTCGCGAGTTCTGGTCACCAACACTCTCTCCCAACTGTTCGATATCATGTCTGGTTTTCTGTTTAACTACGCCATTGACTGAATTCTCAAAAGGGCTTTATATGGTTTCGACGGTGTGGAGTTTGCACCCGGACGCCAGCTGACTGACCTGCCCTGCTATTCTCAAGCTTTCGTGATCTACAGTCTGCGGTGTCACTGGTGAATTAAATCGCTATGGCGGTTGGCTTGTCCATAAATAGAGGGAAGAGTAAATTAAGCTCGAGTTGCATCCCTGACCAGGCAAAAGCACCGCCCAGGGATTAATGGCCGTCAAGTTGAAGAAGTAGACAGCTTTGAATACGCCTGGGCGAGACTGCTACCGAATGGACAGAGTAAGGGCGACACTGTCTCTCAAACCGATGTTACTCGCTAGTTTACCGCAATCCTCCGAAAGCTACTATGAATCCCATGCGACATCTCCAACGTCACGAAGATCCGTGTGTACCACGTATCCATCCGCTCGTTCCTCCTAAATGGATGTGAATGCTGGGCTTTGTACACTGAAGATGAGCGAAGACTAGAGGTATGTGGCCACCGCTGCCTGGGGAGCATCCTTCGAGTGAAGCATCTGACTTCGTCTCAAGTGCGACAGTCCGCACTCTCAGTGACAACATCACAAGAATGCCTTAGACCATCCAAGAAAGATGACTGAGGTGGTTTAGACACATTCTCCGTCGTCCACCTCATGAGCTTTGTTATGCTCCCTTCGACCCAGCGCCGCAGCCCACCTGGAGGCGTCGAAGAAATGGGCAACTCAAGACTTGGCGCAACACCGTTTGTCAGGACATAGAAGCGGATCTTGGACCTTCGGTTTTCGGCCTCCGTCGCTGGAGAAGACAACGGGTGGAGCTTTCTACATCCACTGTCGCTAATCGTCACGCGTGGAGAGGTATCGTCCATGGCGTCATCGAGGCTGGCTAGATCAGGTATGATCACAGCCATATCAAGTACAAGTAAGTGCATTCAACTCTAGCAGCAGTTAATATCATCATAATGATGCATGATGT